CTCCAAACATACAACCTCACAACCAGACTACTAAATGATCTCCTTGCCTCCACACCTCGTCCCTTTACAACCCACACAGCAATGGGAGTGATCGATCTAAAACCTGAATCTGATTAGGTCATAAAACACAAATTTGATTAAGCTTTTCAATGTTTTCCCACCAAACAAGAATAAAATACCAATTTCTTGCCTAAGCCTACAAAGCCATGCATGACCGGCTCCCTGCCTAATTTTCTAGCTTGCTTATCCTCAGATCAAGTTTCTAACCTCCATAGGGAGCCTTGCCCTTGTTTTCTTCCACCTGGCAAACTCTCCCCCCAAATCCCATGGCTGTCCTCTTTAGTCATCAGGTCTTGGTTTAAATGACACCACTTCAGAAAGGCCTTCCCTGACCACCAGCAATCTAAATAGCCATCCAGTCACTTTCTGTTACTTTAACTTCTTTTAATCATCTGCACAGCAATTTTATCCTTATCTGCTATTTCTATTGTTTACTTATTCATTTATTGTATATCTTCCCCACAAAGATATAAGCAGAGATCCTATTTAGTTCATCACTGTGTTCTTGTAGCACCTCATTTATAAAACATCTACTTTATTCAGCCTACCAGCAATACAGATGATATGTGTGTATTGTTGCAGATTCCTTGCAATAAATCCTTGAACTTGTCCCATCTATGGCTCACTTTATTAAGTGAAATCTAACAAATCATAATCCTCACCCTACTATTTGAAACTGAAGACAATAGTATCTATGTTCCAAACCTTGCCAGGTATTTCTTAAGGAAAGCGTGGCCAATTACTATTTCCCACGGTGGATAGACATTTGATCTACCTTCTCCCAGGCCCCAATCTTGACATCAGCAGGAATAACTGGTTAAGTACCTCATTATGTAAATGAGAAGGTACATACCACAGCACTTGGTCCTCTGAAATCTGGCATTTTAGCATTTTAAGTATCCATATCACAGCAAGGAGATTGATTCATTTCTAGTTACTTCAGTAAAAAAAGAATGGAGTACAGGGGGATGGAAAGCTACTTTACAGAAGCAGAGCCTTCTGAGTCAGAGTGGAGAGTCTGCCGGGGAACACTCAACCTAACCTCGCAGAGCTGAGAGTGACGTCATGGAAGTTCTTGGGCAAGCCATAGAAATGCTTAGGCATTTTAAGCAAGTGTTCATGCTGAAAGTACCTTCACATAGAAGGCAAGTTCCTCTTTAGCACTGTCTAAATCAGCAGAAAAAATGAATTTGAAGAACAGATAATATCAGTTCATAAAATATTTCATAATAAATATGAATTATTCAGCTAAAGTTTGACTCTTGCAGACACAGAGACAGAATTTAGCAGTAGTGACTGCCAAATAGTGACAATAGAGACTGAGAATTTGGTAATAGTTACTAATCCAATATGGACTGGCAAGGAGTAGACAAACATGATGGAAACCAGAATAAGACAAATCAAAGCCACATTGAGATATCATTTCACCCCAGCTAGACTGGCTATTATCAAAAAGACTGAGAATAATAAATGCTGGCAAGAATGTGGAGAAAAGGGAACACTTCTACACTGTTGGTGGGACTGTGAATTAGTGCAGCCATTATAGAAAACAGTATGGAGATTTCTCAAACAACTACAGATAGATCTACTATACCATCCAGCAGTCCCACTTCTGGGTATATACCCAAAGGAATGGAAATCATCATATCAAAGGGAAACCTGCACTTGCATGTTCACTGCAGCTCTATTTACAATAGCCAAGATATGGAACCAAACTAAATGTCCATCATCTGATGACCGGATAAGGAAAATGTGGTATATATACACAATGGAACATTTCTAAGCCATAAAAAAGAATGAAATTCTGCCACTTGCAGCTACATGGATGAGCTTGGAGAAAATTATGTTAAGTGAAATAAGCCGGACAGAGAAAGAGAAATACCACATGTTCTCACTCATAAGTGGGAGCTAGGAAACAAAGAAAGAAAGACCATAAGAAAATGTTAAGCTTTCAGAAAGAGAGGACAGACCTATAGTTACTAGAGGTGGGAAAAAAAGGGTGAAGGGTGAACTTTTTTATACATCCTGAATGCAAATTATTTATTTTTTCCAGCAGCTCTTTTTGTCCTTTTCTTTGTCAGAGAGTAACTGGGTAAGGGAGACAAAAAGTAATTACAATTTGTAGTGATGAACATGCTAATAATATTGATTTGATCACCACATGCTATACACAAATACTAATAGTCGACTTTGTACCCCATAAATATGTATAAATAAAATTTTTAAAAATTATAATTTTGAATATAGCATTCTCAAAAAAAAAAGAAAAGAAAAGAAAGAAAGAAAGAAAGAAAGAAAGAAACAAGAATAAGAGAAAAAAAGAGATCCAAACAAAATGAGCATGGATATTTGCGCAGTGTCTATCTGACTAAAAGTTTCACCAAAACATGAAATCACCTGTAGCTTTCTGCATATATTTGTACTTGCTATATACATGGAATTACTAACATGGTATGACAGATCGTTAGAGAACTAAATATAAGCCTTTCTACATGTGTGTTTGATTTTCAACTAGCTATTTCTCTTTTAGATAAAGACTAAAGAGCACGTCTTTTGTAATTATTGCGAGGTATAACTTGAATCAAGTGGACGTACTTTACATTTTTAGGCATTCATCCAGTGAGAGTAAAATAGTTCACAATCCTCACAGCAGACTTCCTTAAAATGCTGTGCCCCATAGGAAGTGTTCCTCAAATCAAGGAAAAGAGGGGGTAGCTTTGTATGCTCACATCGGTTTTGAGAACTCTGGAAGAAACAATGGTGAGAACGCTGGAAGAAACAATGGTTAAAACACTGATATTCAGATGCTTCCATAAGCTAACATGCCAGCTGTATCTCCAGAGGTATACAGTGCCACTTCCAGATGACCATGGACTGCTTTCTTCAAGAAATACCCATTCACACCTGAGGAATATTACACAGGAAACATCCAGAAAAATCCTCTACAGACTTCTGTTCGTGGCTCATAGCAGACACAGGCACAAAAGATGATGGAAGAGTAAGAATTTGATTTCCCAGATTATACAGTAGAGGCGGGTATAAGAAAAGGAGGTTGCAGATGGGTCTGGGGGCTTCACAGCCATTGTTTCTGACAGAAATGGAAAGTACCCTGACTTGCACTACCAGATATTAAAATGTACTATATAAAGTTACAATATTAAAACAGTATGGTATGGAAGCAAAAATAATAATAATAATAATAAAAACATGACAGAGCAGAACATAATACATAGTTCAGAAATGACATTTAATATATTATAATATACTTAGCATATTATAGAGAAGACTTTCTAAGTTTATACGAAAAGAAAGGCTTATTCAATAAATAGTTCTATGAAAATGATTAGCTATTTGGAGAATATATAATATTAGTCCTTACCTTAAATCATAGTCAATATGTAATATACATTCCAGATGGACTAAAGAGTTTAATATTTTAAAAAAAGCCTAGAAGAAAATGTCGGTAAGGAGATCTTGTAGTTTTAGATTTGCTAAGCATAAATGCTATAGAAAAAAATACAAAGATAAAAGGTATGCAACTTTACCTTCAGAAAAATAAATAATTGTATGGATCCCTAAAATATCCCCTCAAAAATTTAAAAACAAAAATCTGGGGAAAACAGTACCAAAAATATGACAGACCACAAGTTGAAATATTGATATATTAAGAATTTCTACAAACAAATAACAGAAAGGAAATGAATGGAAACTTACGGAGGAATATGTATATGTTATTTTTTTAAAAGCTTCATCTTAAATAGTAGTCAAAGAAATACAAATTAAATTAGGGCATTATAATATTAGCATATTATTATATACTAATGTCCTCACTCACAGGTGGGAGCTAAGAAAACAATTTATCAATTATTAAAATGTTTTAAATAAAAATTCTTAATACTGTCAACAGTATGGTGAAAAAGATAAGCTCTTAAATTGGAGGTGGGAAGATAAAGTCCTGCAACCTTTCTGGAATTCAGTTCAGTCATATATTAAATTCTTTTGACTCTGTAATTCCACTTCTAAGGAAATTATCCTAAGAAAATATTCACATGAAAAAGACTCAGATATAAGAATATTCATCATGGCTTAATTTTTAATGATAAAATGAGAAATTTCCTATCTAACATTATATCAATCATTATAATAATGTCTACTGCTTACTTTGTGCCAGGCACTGTTAATTTTTATGAACATGTATTAACCCATTTATTCCTTACAATTACCCTGTGAACTTTAATTTCAATCTCATTTTAGAGCTGAGGAAACTAAGATCCAGAGAGGTTAAATAATTTGTCTAAAGGCACCCAGCTGGCAAGCAGCAGAACTGGGATTCAAACCCAGGCAGTCCATGGTCTTCACTCCTATACACACAACACCTCACACATCTGTCCATGGAACGGAACATGGTATAGTCAGTAAAATGTTTTCAAACACTATTTAATGATATCAGAACAGGCTTACATTATAATTAAGGGGAAAATCACTATACAAAAGGATATGGGTGGTATTATCCCAATTTTGCTAACAAGCAAAATACATATGAATAGTAAAAATTAAAAGGAAACATATGTAAAGGTCAAAGTGATTATCATCACCTGGTAAGAAAGTTGTAATTTTCATTTTCTTCTGTATACTACATGCCTTATAAAGTTCTAAAAAAGACACATACCACTTTTATGATCAGAGAAGAATAATACAAGTCATTTTTAAAAAGAGGAATCAAAAAATATGGGTAGAATATTTTTGTACTTATATATAACTAAGTTCATACTAAGTACAAAATTTCAGATGTAACTAGAATAATGTACATCCTCTTATCTGCCTTTATAACTGCATTCTCAAGCTACTACTAATTGGCCTTAACTATACTACCAGCAATGTGTGAGCTGTAGTGATCTCTTAAAGGCACAAAGTTATAAAATCCTTCCCCACTCATGTACCTGAAATGTTGCTTTTAGCAAATTCTTCCCAGAACTTCTGAAGACATCTCTCAAGCAGTCCACATGGCCATTGCTGAAACAAAAACCTCCAGAGTTTTAGAACTTCCATCTTTATCTATTGAGAGAAAGAAAGATTTATGAAGAGAAAATTACCATTTTCTTTTTCTTTCTTTCTTTTTAGCAAGGACATTAAAAATCCCTGTCTATAGCCACTGCTATGCTTCTATCAACTACAACCTATTACTGTGTTAAAAAAGCAAACTTGCCTCTTTGGTTTGTTCCATGGAATTCAGATACAGCTTGGGCTTCTAAACCAATTGAAAATCTTACTGTGTAGAACCTGCTTTTCTCTTAAGCCCAGAATTACTAGAGACAGATGAAACATACACTAATATACATATATAAACCACCTCTCTATATATAAAAAATTGAACACACTTTTCCATTTATTATCTCATTTTATGTTTACATCTCTTTGAGGTAATAAAGATGCAAATCCTTAGGCCATTGGGAGGCTTTCAAAAGAAAGTTAAATTATGACCTACTTATTAAAAAAAAAAATTCTGAAATATTAAAGCTATTCACATACCACAGAGTTTCAAAGGCTGAAAGCTGACCACGAGGAATAAAAAGCAATGCACAAGTAAACGAATGCAGGAATTATGGTCAAGGCAGATTGCTATTTGGGGTCTGGCTAAAAGATCTGCAATGAAGCACTGGCAATGCTAGAATGTTCTTCTCATCCTACTGGGGGGAACTTTTTTATACATCCTGAATGCAAATTATTTATTTTTTCCAGCAGCTCTTTTTGTCCTTTTCTTTGTCAAACCTCGCTTTCCTCAAAAACCACCTTCCACCTTCTGGATCTTTGGACAAGAGTTTTTAAATCTGTCAACCAGCTAAACACAGGAGTGGGTCTGCGGGGACCTGACTGCATCACCAAGAGAGGCTGCAAGTGTCAATAACCGAGTTAGCCAGTGATGGCCTTCAGTTTGCCCAGAAGCAAAACAGAAATAACAGTGCTAATTTTAACTTCACCTGACTGGGAACCCAGAAAGTGGCTTAAAGTTTCTCTCCTCCCCGCCTAAGAAGCAATGAATGGTTAGGCAAATCAGCAAGAGAAATATGACATAGGTAGATCTAATTCGGCCATGTCCTCTCCCCACATTTCAATCATTTCTCTATTTCATGGGGGATAAAGTCTAAACCACTTGATTTGTCCTGAAAGACTCCAGTCTGACCTTTCACTTCTTTCCCAAATAAATACCTACCCCAGGTGCAGCTTGTGCACGATTCCCAGAATGCACCCCAGTCCACTCCTTGTAGCCTTTCTCCCAGTTGAGCCCTTCCCTCTCTTCCACTGGATGAATATAGCAAAAGTAATTCTCATCATTAATTGAGCTCCTACTGAATACCAGGCAGTGTTCTAAATTCTTAACATCTGTCACCTCATGCAAGCCTCACAACAATCCTGTATTATTCCTCATTATTATACCTATCGAAAATGAGAAAAAGCATGCAGAAGCGGAAAATTTTACATTTCTTCAGCATCCAATCTACAAGAGCTTCAGGTGTTTTTTGTTTTGTTTTATTTTAGGTTATACTTATTTCATCAGTTTTTTCTTCTGTTATTTATTGTCTGTGCCTGTTTTAGAATATTTTTATTAATATAAAACAAATATTTTAGAATGTAAAAGAATCCTACTTTTCTCACTAATTTTTTTGTTTTGGAAAATATAGTTATTTTCATAACACGTTATTATATGTGCATTGTAATGAGTTTATTTTTAAACATATGAGCACATAAAAATTCAAAATTTTTTTCAGATATCATAACTTCTAATATGGTCAATATATATAACCCACATGAACAAAAGCTCACAAATCCCAAGTTTCAAAAATATTTTCATAGGCTTCTGACTTCCTCCAAAATATCATTTCCATTGATAGCCACAAAATGCCTTTCCCTGAAGTCACTCAAAGGAGCATTTTCCACCCGAAGTTTTCAGTAAGATGTATAATGTATGCAACTCTGCAACAAAGCTGAAGTGACCTGTTCCCCGTGTAGCAAAGTGGCTCCCACACGCCTCAGCCTGCCATTCAAATAGATAATCTCTGTAAATTTACAGATTAGTACACATTGTGAACCTTGCTTCTCTTACTAGCACAGAAAACTGGCCCCTTTTTAGTCCTTTTTATATCATCACATGCTACTTATTATTCTATTTTATATATAATAGGTGCTGAATGAATGTATATTGAAAGAGTTTCGACAGAGGATAAATTGTCTTGAGTTACCATAAAATACTTTTAAAATACACATTTCTAACAAAGAATTAACGTGTTAATTACAAGATTTGCATTTCTTTTCATTCAAGTAGTTCTATTTGTTACAGTTACCATATGAGTTCAAAAGCAATACAATTACATTTCATTTAACAGACACTATAGTTCAGACTTCATAAGTACATAGTTACCTTGTCACAAATAATAATAATAATTACCAAATTATATGGTTATATTGGAATATACTAAAAAATAACTGAAAATTACTACAGAGAGAGTATTATATTATGCCCTGCAGTGTCCTCAAAACAGAAAAAAATATTCTTTTGGAGTAGATGAATAAAGATCAGACAAGCCATAATTGAGAAGGAGCAGAGATAAATATTCAAAATGAAGGTGTTTATCTGGGCCTCCTGAGTTGTCTAAATTGGTCCAAAGTGTCCCGAAGTATTTTCTCCTGGTCAGGCCAGAATCCCCGTGGCAATAGCCCAGCTAACGAGAGTTGATTCTTCTCAGTCTAACCCTAAAGAGTACAATTAAATGGAATTCTAGGAAATAGGGAAGGGAAATCCTAATAATACAAGTGTACTGAACTTGACAATTTGACTGTTGCATTATTTCCTGTATGTCAAAAGGCAAGATTTTTATTTTTAAAAATCTAAATTTAGGTTTCATTGCCTGGTTCTCTTTGTGATGTGAATTTGACTTTGCAACCTTTCCTTCACTTATTTTCTTCCATTAATTCAAAAAGTATGTATTAGAAAACCAACTACATGCCAGGCAGTATGGGATTCAGAAGTGAGCGGTAGAGACCAACTACATGCCAGGCAGTATGGGATTCAGAAGTGAGCGGTAGAGACACGATCGCTGCCCTCACAGAGTTTACGTATTATAGGGAAAATCCAGAGATTGCAGGAATATTCAAGTACAAACTATGATAAATGCCTAAAAAGAAAGTATAGGCTGTTTTAGTAGAATATAACAGAACCTAAATTTAATGAAATAAAAATAATGTGCTTATTAATATTAATCCACAACTCATTTGCTTACCCCATTAATCACTAGATAAACGTTATCACAAAATATACAGCAAATATAACTTTCATACATGTATTCATATTAGGTGTGGTGATTTGTTTTCATGCCCTTTACATCTGTCTCATAGTAGTGTATTTATATAAACACACACACACATATGTATGCATATATATATATGAGGGTACTTCAAAAAGGTATGGAAAGACTCATATTACCTTTTAATTCTATTTTTCTGTGAACTTTTTTAAGTATCCTCGTATAATCTCTTTTTTAATAGCATGTAATTACATTACTACATAAAGACATGGATATAATGTATACTTTTTGATGTTAATGATGCTGCGTTAATACTGATTATTACCAATCTACCCTTCTCAGCCCTGCTTGACTTTTTTTCCTCAAACACAGTTTTCATTATGTTGCGCTACTAAAAAACTTGAGTTGTGAATTTCCTTGCTCTTTTGACTGGAGTCAACAGGAGTAGTGTGACATCATTCTTGAAACATACTTTCAGAGTCCTTGCTTTTTAAAAAAGCCAAAACACAGAAACTATTTCCATTACCAAATCAAATGTTCACCTCTTCCACAAGATGTTTCTTGGTATTAAGACCCTTTACTTTTCAGAGGTTAGAGAACATTACCATGGCCTTTCAGTGCCAAAAGTAAGGTTTATATATATAAACTAATATTAATGATGATTCCACAAAACTTAGAAGAAAGCTTATCTCATATTTAACTTTTTCAAACTAGATGCATGATTCACTTTCTGACTTTTTGACTAAAAGGGCTAGGCTTGATCCATTCACCTTTTCTCAGAAGTTGGCTTCGAAAGCAAGCCTTATTATTATATAAGGAAACAAACTATCTATTTTGATAATTCACCACAATCTAATAGGAAAAAATGATAGCATTAAACAACAAAACAATTCAAAAATAAGCAAAGAACTTGAATAGACATTTATTCAAAGACAATATACACATGGCCAACACGCATATAAAAAGATGCTCAACGTCAGTAGACATTAGGGAAATAAAAATCAAAACCACTGTGAGATACCACTCTATGTTTATAAGAATGACTATTACCAAAAAAAAAAAAAAAAAAGAAAGAAAGAAAACATTGTTGTGTTTGATATAGTGTTAAAACACACTATAGTGTGTTTGATAAAAGTGTTGATATAGATGTGGAGGAATTGGAACACTGGTTGCATTGTGGGTAGTAACGTAAAATGGTGCAGCTGCTGTGGAAAATAGTAGTATGGTGGTTCTGAAAAAGTTAAACATAGAATTGCTATATGATACAGCAATTCAAATTCGGGGTCTTTACACAAAAGTACTGAAAGCAGAGACAGATATTTGTGCACTGATGTTCATAGCAGCATTATTCACAGAAGCCAAAATGTGAAAACAACCCAAATGTCCATCAATGGATGAATGAATAAACAAAATATGGAATATACATACAATGGAATATTATTCAGCTTTCAAAGAGAATGAAATTCTGACACATACTACAACATGGATGAACCTTCAAAACTTTATACTAAGTGAAACAAGCCAGATACATAAGGACAGATATTGTATAATTCCACTTATATAAAGTGCCTAGAATAGTCAAATACATAGAGACAGAAAGTAGAACAGTGGTTACTCGGGACTGGGGGAGAAAGGAATAGGGAGTTCATGGGGACAGAATTTCAGTTTAGGAAGATGGAAAATTTCTAGACATGGATAGTGGTGATGGTCGCCCAACAATATGAACGTACTTAATGCCACTGAACTGTAC